TGAAAACTATATACCAATACTGTAGACCAACTTATTTTCGCGGATACTTTATTTCGCGTTTAGTTCTTTCTATCCCACTTCGCGGTGATTTAATTTCGCGATTTTTAAATTGTCTTGATGTAGTTAGATAAGAAAAGATCCAAGTTTTAAATTTTTGTGAAGATTTATAGTCGCGTTATTTGTCTTCTCGCGAAAGTCGCGAAAAAAAATTGCTTGCGAAAGTTAGGTGGTTTTCAAGGGTTTGAGATACTGAAATGTTCAACAGTAAATTATCAAGATATACATGATTTATGTTTGTAAACAGTCAGCTCTAGATCTGATAATGAAATATAATTAGGTGTCATATAATTATTTGCTCAACAAATTAAAACTACATAAAAAAACATGTACAAGAGAATATTTTCTGAAGATATATTCATAAATTCCATAGGATAAAAAGTAAAATTACAAAAATACTGAACTCCGAGGAAAATTCAAAACGGAAAGTCCCTAATCAAATGGCAAAATCAAAAGATAAAAACACATCAAACGAATGGACAACAACTGTCATATTCCTGACTTGGTACAGGCATTTTCAAAAGTAGAAAATGGTGGATTGAACCTGGTTTTATAGCGCTAAACCTCTCACTTGTACGACAGTCGCATCAATTTCCATTATATTGACAATGATGCGTGAACAAAATGTCACAAATAGGGGTACAAAACCAACACGGATATCATTTTTTTATAATTAACGGTACTTAACTTGTGTTTTTTTTTCTTTATAATTTTTATATGACTTTTGAAGCAGTAATACCTTTTAGCTGAATGAAAATGGTTTTTGTTTGTTACCCTGGGCCATTCCAGATTATCTGCGTTTCCTTCAAGTGTTTGGTGTGTTTATTTTGCCCAGTATTTAGTTTAAATGGCGTGATTTGTGTACTTGTTCGTAGTTTTTCGTTTTATGCAGTGGAGTTCCCAGTCTCTTTTCGAATAATAATTCAAAAGAAGACAATCGGTCTAAATCTTTATTAAAATATGCAAATTTTGAGACAAGACTTCATTTAAATTAAGAAATCTTTTTTTAGTGTTTTCTCTTCACTACCGACTTTTTGAAAGCTCTTCAACTTCATAATTGATTTGACCTTCAAATTGTTTAAATTCTAGCGCAGATTGTTAGTCTAATGTGGACGCTCTTCTGGTGTAGCAAATTATAAGACTGGTTACGTTGTTGAGTTTTATAACAATTGAATCGATACAACTGCTGGTTGATCTGTTGACCCAGAAAGAATCACACATCCAGTGGTCAGCACTTCTGTGTTAACATAAAATGTTAATAATAAGGTTTTTTTCTGTAAATTTTCTGTTAACCCAATGTCGTATGGTAGAAACACTTGATTTTTCTACTTCCAGGCATAGATGTCCTAAGTCGTTGTTTACGGATACCTTTTCGCAAAATAGGTTTGAGGAGTTTTACGATTTAGTATTTAATTATGCCTTCCAGCTGTTTTGATTCAAGTGCCACTGAGGAGTCTTATGTAGAAGAAATACGCATCTGGCGTAGCAACATATAAGCTTGTTATCTTTGATAAGATTTTATGAATACAGAATATTATTTGTCAGTACATTTGTTTACTTAGCCATATAAAGGGAAATAACACCGATAATTTTATTTCAAAACTCTTGTTAAGTGAAAGACACTAATGAAGAAAAAAAAAAACATCAGTCCAGAAACTCTAATGAAAAAATATTTACGGCATTGAATAATGTCAGTTATTGATCAGTACTGAAACAATAATGAAATGTCCATACTAAAACAGTACTGAAAAATATATTTGCAGAATGTAAACTGAAATGTACAAAAACAGTAACGAGAAGTAAATATAGAATAAGAAAGTTGTACAAAAAGTAGTTAGTAGTACTGAAGTAACAAAGAGTATAACATTTAACTGTCTATCATACTTGTGTTACAAAGGAAGTGATATAAAAATTATAACAAACGTACTGACTCGAAGGCATATTCAAAAAGGGGAAGTCCATCATAAAAACTGATAAAATCAACAGCAATCATAAACAGCTTATTTTTTAACATGAACACATGAAATGTAAATAATGTGTTTTTTGATATTGTTTCGTCAAATATATAATATGTAGGGTAGTTATCAGTTTATCAATTGCATAAACAATTTGTTCTTTGCTAATACGTTTGAATACAAATGAGAAAAAAAACCATTAAATATTCTGATGGAATTAAGATATAACTTACAAAACAAACATTGACCTTTTGAGTTTGGTGTTTCAAGAAGTGTTTTCTTTTTGTCTCTATTTAGTTTGACAATTGAAATCATCGGTATAATAAAGTCAATTATTAGTATATTACCGAACATTTGCTTTAATTAAAATCAACTGTTAAAATACAAACCCAGATTTAGATTGTAAATGAATCGTATTCATGCACTGATTAAATTGTGCACGTGGAATTTGGAAATGATTACATATGAAACACTTACAGTTTATTAAAATAGGGAAGTCTTTAACAACCAAATTATCGATTGAACATTGAAGCACTTGAATTACAAGTGTGACACAAACTTACAGGAGTTAAGTATACACACCGGTTTACATTTTTCTTTGATGAGTTTACTTCCTCATTACTGTAGTTTGTATAACTAATTAACATGAAGATTACTAGCTCTATATATTTGTTGCCAAACATTTTATTACTAATCATTATAACAGGTAAGCTTGTTTGCATTTTGCCTTTTGTTTAAACAAGTTTTCCATGTGTATAACGGTATTTGCAATATCGTTTTGTTTATTCTTAATGAAGTCTTTGTTTTTGGTTTTGTGGACGAATGTTAATCGTGAATTGGTGTCATCATATCCTTTCTTTACTATTCGAATGTGTTCATCTTTACTCATCTTGACTTGTTTTGTATTGTTGGATATCTAGAAAAGACTGTAAAAAAAAGGCGAAAGATACCAAGAGAACATTAAAATAACATCAGTCGAAGCGAAACTTACAACGCCATGGCAAGACACGATATCACCGACGATAGGACAAACAAAATTAACAAGGCACTAACATAATAAAACTATAGATTGAGCAATCCGAGCCCGAACAAAAACTGGAGGGGGTTTCAGGTGCTTCAACAGGGTAAGCGGATTTCAATATAAAAAGAAAGTCATCTCTGTGACTTTTTGGTGTCAATGGTAAATGTTAGTTCCATGTGTTCCATTGCAATGTCTTTTGTTATTTTATTGCATTAAATGTTCGAATGAAACGGAGTTTGGATCTCCATTTTGTTCCTAGTATATGTTAATAATTTAATTTTGGATGTTATGCGTCTTCTGATTGGCTCAAAGTTTTTTTGTCTATCAGCTGATAGATATAATTTTGTCATGTGACCGTGACTTCATCAACGTTGTTTTCATTATTTATTCCTTTAATATGGAATTTAGAATTAAATTATAAGGAATGACTGTAATATCGTTTTCTGTCTATGCGATATGCGAAATAACCTAACAAATGTTTTTAAATAACACGCTACTCGGTTTATTCAGTATGCACCTCATTTTTGATGTTATATCTTCATGGACAGAAAAATATTACAAAATTATTCAGAGACACATAAGAAAACTACTAATTGACAATAGCACATGGTTTACCATTTAGGAAACCCGAGGTTGTGAATGCGTTATCCTCCATTTAAAACAAATAAGTTGTTGCTCAAGCAGACAAAGCCTCAAGCAACATATCTGTTGAGTTTAGAGGATTGATATTTCAATATAGTGCATGAAGGTGATGCTTTTAACTTTCTTTTTGTTAATTTCCATTTTCCAAAAGTAACATAGCTTTTGAACAATCGTTTTGCGTAAACATATCTTGATTAAAACAGTTCTATAGTACATGCTCACTCTATATGGACTTCGTTAACAGAATAATCCTCTTGCTCCCAACACTGCTCAAACAGAGTTTTGAGGAAAACAACTAAAATTGGATTAATATAAGTTTCACTGTTATGATGAAAAATTAGATGACTGATACGACGTGGATATATCTAAACTCGCTAGTGACAAGTATTTTCGGTCTTAGATCTTTGGATACTACAATATCCGTCTTGTCTATTAAATAAACTTTTGTGTCCTATCCAAAATGTTACATGTTGGTTGAATGGGGATCCGCATGGGGAATGATGCAAGGATAAGATGAGACGCATACTATGTCGATGTACCCGGTCTCGCTCCTTTTGGATTTTATGCTTTTTCCATAGTTTTTTACCATAATTTATATCTTTCTAATGAACTAAATATATTTTAGAAACCGGAAACTACTGCGGTTTATTATTTATGACTTCTTCGTTTACATTCAGAGCTGATGTGAACACTTTAAAAATACAAAGCCATTGTAGGTACTTGTCAATTGGTTTTGTTAAATATTTCGTCCTTGATTTGTCTTAATAATCTTTTGTTAATTTTGTTTTGTTATACGGCTGTCACATGTGGAGCAGGATATGCTCACCCTTCCGGATCACCTTAGATCAAACCCAGTTTTTGATGGGGTTCGTGTTGCTCAGTCTTTAGTTTTCTATGTTGTATTTTGTGTACTGTTGTTTGTCTTTTTTCTTTTTTAGCCATGGCGTTGTCAAATTATTTTCGACTTATGAGTTTGAATGTACCTTCGGTGTCTTTTGCCACTCTTTTGTTGTCTCACTAGCTTCTTATAATAAAGGCAACGTACCTTTCAGTTTTTTATTGCAAAAAATGCGACAATATGGATAGCGCAAAAATAAAAACTCGCAGTTTTAATATTTGATGGCATTATTTTTACGCAGCATTTCCTGAAAAAAGCATTTGTGTCGATGGTTCAACAATTGCAATTATAAACGCCAACATTTCTGAATTTAGAGAATCGAATTACAAAGTAAAAGATATCACATTAATCTTTCCGTTTCTTTTTTTACTTCCTTTCCTTTTTTTGTGTACATAAACGATAACAAGATGCATTATTTTTTCAGAGTTGTGTGCTGTAGATGACCCGTGTCCCAATGAAATCGACAGTAAGATAGGTATTACATTTTATTTTCTGTTTCTATCAAAAGTATATATTGGTCATACAATAGATGTTTTGTTTTCATAATGGTATAATAAAAGTAAACAAAGGATATGGGGTATCCATCCATGACACAAAATAAGTACATGCACAGCAACAAACACACAAAAGCATATGAGCAGCGCTTGTATTATTGTTCTTCATCTCAAAGTCACAGTGAGGTCATCAACACGAGGCAAACAAACTCTCGCCTACTGCAAGTTTAAGACGGGAGCAGAATTCTTTGCAAAATGATTCGGATCGACTTTGTAAGATGTAACACCATCAAATAAGGCCGGTCAAAAAAAGAACATACTGGAAAGTTGTACATATTTAAAACAAAATAGTTCCTATGCATAGGTGTAAATACAAAACTATGTAGAGTATATTTTAGTAATTAAGGTATTAAATGAAAGGTGAAGGACTGGTGATCCTTGTAACACATTTGACCGTTATGGAATATCCGTTTCACAGATGATATCGGATATGTTCCTCATGTCGTAACTACAATCCCGTTCCCTTTTCACGAATGTGACCTACCGAATTAGACTATTTACCCCTATTTGTGTATTGTTTTTGTTTGTTTTGTTCACACATCGTTGTCAATATAATGGAATTTGATGCGACTGTCATACAAGTGAGAGGTTTAGCTAGCTTTAAAACCAGGTTCAATCCACCATTTTCTACATAAGAAAATGCCTGTACCAAGTCAGGAATATGACAGTTGTTATCCATTCGTTTGATGTGTTTGAACGTTTGATTTTGCCATTTGATTGGGGACTTTCCTTTTTGAATTTTCCTCGGAGTTCAGTATTTTTGTAATTTTACTTTTGACCGATAATTTTGAATAATATAAAAATGTATGAATGAATTCTAAAGTTGAGGTCATATACTGCCTGTTTCTCAGATATGAAGTACCTGGTTTTAGGACGTAACACTGTGATACTTTTTTGTATCAACTTGCTGCTGAAAAATTATCTGACCGAATACTAGTATTTTCACAGTTTCCACGCAATGAAGGTAAATCCGGAATTGCATATCGAAAATATATTGTGTAACTAGTTAATGACAAGACCAAAAGTAATATAATAGAAGTTCCATTTTAAACATATTCAAGTTAAAATCATTCCTGTTTCAGATATTATTCACATGAAATAAAACAATGCTTTTCTACTCACATTTACTGATGTCTCTTCTCTTAGTGGCAGACATGTGTACAGGCGACCAAGCAGTTGAAGACAGTATTGACGGAACGTACGTGAATGACAGTGTAATTGTACGTGTAATGAAGCAGAAAGCTAACTGTGAATGTCGCGTCAGTCTTATAAACAATACAAGCAATTACTCTGTACTTATGAGAAGATACAGAGGACTGGGAAGAGTAGTTCCACCGACACAGAACTGTGGACTAGCTATTGATGTTCATTATCATAAAGTTACAGGATCTGAAAGAAATCTGGACCCAATTAAATGTAGAAATGGTACTAAAAGTCGAGAAATTGGTATAGAAAAAAATGGTGTTATTAAACTGAAATCAAAAATTATAAGTGGCAATTTTACTAGAGGATACTGTATGCAGATATATAGAAGTAAGCTCCCGTTTCATTATTGAATTTGAAATAAAATGCACGATGCTTCCTCATCTGTTACACGAAAATAGAAAATAGAAACTTGTAGTCTTATCAGCGATTTTAAGGGTAAAAGATACAGCAGAGGCAGATACAAGCCCGTCAAAATGTAACACGTTGTTTTTGCAACGTCACTAGTAATCAGCACTAAAATAATTGGAAAATTCAGACATCATCAAATCGCGCAGGTGAATTCAAAAGCATTTGCAAAAGAAAACAAATATGCTGTATATTTAAGCATGAGAAATCTACTGCGTTGGCATACAATTCGAGCAAAACTTTCAAAATTATGACAGTAATTCGTAAAGCATTTTGATATATGACGGGACAATTAAATTTTACTCTGCGATGTAGCATAAAGAAAACAATGCGACGTATTTTAGCGCCAAAAAGGGAAAATGGGAACTGCAATATTTAAAAGAATAGATTTTCTCTGGTTAACTTAAAGATAAGCACATGGACCTTAATTTATTTTTTTATGTGCAATTGATTGTGTGCTACTTCATGAATGAATATCAAAAATGCAAGAGAAAATCAACAGAAGATTATTTGTGTATGCATTGTGTATATTGTAGTGGGAAAATAACTCTTGGGCCAATATTTATAAAATTACAAAAAAAAATGCAAATGCATTCAACCTTCATTATGGTATTTAATTTAAAGCCTAAAAACTAAGGATATTTTAAATAAAATCGGATTGAGAAACGTCTTTTTGAAGGTTATGTTATTCTTTTGGAAAAGTATTAAAATATGAAATTTTGAGTTTTCGACTGACAAACATCAAGCCGGAATATCTAGACAAGTAATTATCGAATGTGTATTTATCTTTGAATGTTTCGAAAGTATATATCTACATTGACTTTTGTAAAACTTTATAAGATGTTATTTTCATATCTCTTCTGTATCGTATGCACTACAGTAGTGCTCCATTAAATTTTAATTGACAGCAAATCTTTGTGGAAAGGAGCAAGGATTTCTGTGAGCTAAATGCAGCATTCGTAATTTATAGAAAAATAAAGCCAAACACCAAAGTCAAACAAAACAACAATAACAACAAATAAAACACCCATGCAATTCAACAACAAAATGTTATCATTTATATGGTCCATTTGAGTTCTATAGACCATTAATCTTAAGCTGAAATATCGAAGATTTGATTGACAGCATATTCTGCAGAATGGCAACATGGTCTTCATTATTTTAAATGCAGATAATGTTTACAACAACTAACAACAAAAAGTCCGACAACAAAAGAATGCTTTCTTTTTTTTTCACCTATATCGTAGAAAGAAATCTAAAATATGTCTCGTGGAAGGCAACAAGGTCTTCTGTGAGGTAAATGTAGCACTTCATTGTGTTGATTATATAAAAGAAAATTAAAATAAGGAATAAGGGATAATAAAAATAGACCCTCCCCCCCCCCCCCCTGGGTAAAACAAATAACTTAACCCCGTCCTAAAAAAAAAAATTAAAAAAAAACAAGCGATCGAACAGAAAAATGTCATGCTTTCCCTAAATCCCTATATTTGGACGTTGTAATATTAACAGTTTCGAGTACATTTCAGTGTCAATGCATACATGTGTTGCTGATGTACATTTTCAAATCAACAATCCATAATTCTACATCTCGGCAAGGTATAATTTGTTCATTTGTCAATTTATTATATTCTCAACTTGTTATTAAAAAGACTGAGCTACAAACAAATGCAATGGTAGCGTGCACACATCAAGTGCGGGAGGTCGCTTTCCGATTTTTGTCCAAATCAATTCAAAGACTTTAAATGTTGTATTTACTACATTTCCATCAAAGCAAGGGACATTTTTAAGACTTAGAGCAAAGTATGGTCTTCTCCTATTAGGAGTGACATGTCTTGTAGGGGGTTGTTGTCTTGTGAGCAAGTGTGTTGGAAAACCAGCGAAGCATGTCTGGTACAAAGCAAATGTTATGATAATAATTATCAAGTTCACATGTTATTGTCCTGAATCCCTCCTTCAATATAAAATATGTAATGTAGTAAAAATTCTAAATATGAAAGATTCTAAACCTTAACACCAAAGCTGACCTGAGAACTAACTGGAATGATACATGGTCTTTTCATGTGGGTTGCCTTTACTGAAATTTTGGCCCCATTTTGGTGGGGTTCGTGGTGCTCTATCTTTGGTTTTTATGTATTTGTTTGTGGACTTGTTTGTCCTTTCGTCTTCTTTCGTTTTTACCACAGCGTTGTCAGTTTGAGTTCGATTTAAGAGTGTTTAATGACATCTTGTATCTTCCGCCTTTTTCTTTTACAAATTATCCTATCATGTAACACAATACAACACGTCTTCCATTGTAATATGTTCAAAGTATTTTTGCATGTTAAAAGTCCTAAAGTTAAACCCAAAAGTATACAGTATTGGGGAAAATAGAATGCAATTTTAATTACTCCATCTACACGTTACAGACTATCCTTCTATCCCTATCCTTGGAGAAAGAGGATAATTAGAAATAAGCCTACATTGTTCAGTTTTTCAGTTTACTATGATTAAATATACTCTAGTGTAAAACTAGTAATAAAACGAATAATCGCCCTTTGAAATGAAACTCTTTAATCTTTGACACGTTCCCGAAAGGACCCTATATTATATATGTTCAAGAGAAAATCAAATGATATTGTTTATCGTATTTTTCTAATGGAAGATAATATGTTAAAAATAGCATTATTATTCCTATTCCTCAAATTCTAAAACTCGGGAAGTGTTATCTATATATATATGATATAAATGTCTTTCTTTATTAGTGTGAATGGAGTTATAGGACAATCGTATTACATTTATTTCTATACCAAAAGAGTCCGTAGGGTAAACAGCAAACTTCCAAAACCTTGGGTGGAATTAGGACAATCATTTTTCATTTATTTCTATACCCAAATATTCCGTAGGGTAAACAGCAAACTTCCAAAACCTTAGGTGGATTTATAGGACAATCATATTTCATTTATTTCTATACCCAAAGAGTTCGTAGGTCAAACATCAAACTTCCAAAACCTTCGGCAAACTGTGAAAAGTGTTGATTATTTGGATGATATCAAGTTTCTATTCTTAATTGCATAATTGCTTAGGGGGAATAAATTTCGGTTTTTTCGTCTCCCTAGAGACCACAACCATGGAGCCATACATAAATTCGAATACAATCTATTAAATGTATGATTCATGTATTAATTTCAAACAATTATTCTCTAAAATATTTTAATAGTTACTGGTTAACCCAAAAAACGTTTTTGCAAATATCAAGACTTAAAATTTTGACACAAACAGCTCATATAGCGTGAATAACATGCCAATTTATTTGTTCCTGGTATCTCAAATACTTTAACAGGTTGTTCAAATATTCAGCCATGTTCGGCCAGAATTGTAACGTAAATTCGATTCCTTGAGTAGAGAGAGTGTCAGGCTATCTGTTCATTAAAAAACCCTTGCCACAATTCTCCGAGCAAACTTTCTGCCCATATCTGACAGTTTTCATTTAGCAGTCCAAATTTCTTGCCCTTCATCCTGGTCAATACACTCATTAAATGACTATCAATGATATTGTTCTGAAAGTGCATAAAATAATTTAACTGAATATCAAGGAATCAATAAATCAAATGGTGTAACATGCGTCTTCAGGATAATTGATTTTTTACGCTTTTTGGACCCCATTTTTAATATGACTTATGATTCAAGTTTTAACTTAACATGCTTAGTAATTAAAAAAGCGCCACTTTTTATTGCATCACCACAACTCTGCATATATAAATACACTACATATACTAGAGATTCACGTTTCGTCGCTTTTTCCCTAATAGTTTAGGCACTGGCAATTCATCTTTTGTGGAGGCATAATTGTTTTTCTAAGGACCTGAAACTTTTTTCTCCATTATATTACAAGAACAATTTTTTTTTCTCACTAACTTTGAACGGAAACCAACTAGTTTTCACTGTCCTTCTGACAGAAATATTCTTTTCTCAAGAAATTTAGAATCAAACAATTTATTTTTAAAATAAACCGCCAAACTGCACCCAACATGGTCATTAAATTACTAGTTATCAGGAAATTCGACTTAGCATATAATTCAGCTCGTAGGAAAAAAATCACAATTCCTTTTTAAAACTTCGGCACGATAAATGCTTACTTAATGCCACATTTAAAGATTCTTGCTGAGATTATGCTGGACATTACGTCATACATATCACAAAAACAGAATGCTATGCAGCAAATATTTACCCTTCTTAATTTCAAACAGACAATATTTGAACAGTAACATATCGTTCGAGTAAATCAAAAAAGACCACACATATATGTGCAACAATAGAGAGCAAAAAATGTCAGTTATTACATGCAGAAAAACATATACCGTTGATTTGTTCTTGCAATTTCGATATAACATACTTGAAGCAAAGCATGATCGAAAGTTCAAAATGGGTGTTCAATAGCTTATTTTAAGTTGGAATCAGAACACCCAGTTTTCTTTAAATGATGGAGATGCATTTTCCCTATTTGGCGCTAAACTACGTCAATGTGTATTCTCAATGCGACATTGTCATTAAGCAATTCCCGCTGTAAAGTAAAGCGCTATGCGCATTATTTTTATATACGATATTATTGATGATAGAAAGGTATCAGTCTTCATTTTCCTCGAAATGTCACAGTACATTTCGAGTGCTTACATATATACAACGTGTTTGTTTTCCTTTGCAGATAATTTCAAATTGAACTTTATATATTGGAATTCCTGTTCTTTTATACAATAATAGTAGAATAACCTATCCAAGACTTATAGAAAAATAATTTACGAGTTACCGAACAACACATTAATTCACGAATGCGCATGAGTTAATTATTAGTGTTTTGCTGTCACGAATTTTCTATTTTTGAATCCTTGTATTAGTTATTCTTTTATTACAATGACCATGAATTTTTTAATGGAAATAAAGTAGAAAGTGCAGGGAACTTTATCTTTCTCTATGCATTCTCATTTCGTGTTCATGTAACGTCATCGACAATGTGTTGACAACAACCATTGTTGTATGACGTCAGAGGGGTGAAATTATCTGTTTTTATTTTACTTGGGACTCACGGTGTTGCATTGCAAGCAATGTAATAATTTAACTTATTATCTTAGAAAATGGAGCGGATGGCCTCAATGTTAAATTAAAAATACAGTGTGATGATCCGGATAAGACAACAACGAAAGGATACAATAGAGAAGGTAATATAAATCACTTTAAGGTGTAGTTAAGGTTAAGGATGTTCGCTCCTCTTGTTTTTGAATTTTTGTCAGATATTCGGAATCCTCTGGTTTAATATATGTAGTGGCATTAAAAAAAAATTGCCCGCTAACCCCTACTTTTCTTTTTATAATTTGATTGCATATAGTTTAAAATGCCATCTTTGAAAATCTTATTAAATCCTTATTATTTTTTCATAGTTTTTGAAAGAAAAAAAGTGCCAATGTTAAATGTATGAAAAATCTAGAGAGAATCATTTCCCGCCAAATTTTCATTGGCTTATATCTCGAAAAGAAGCACACGGACCCTTCATTTTTTTCTGCTTTTATAGTTCCTTTATTTATATACTACTAATCTATAACAGTCTTTTAAAAAGCTTGTTATTTTGAAACAGAGTAGCGAGCATCCTTAAACATATTTTGTTTTACTTGAAGCAAAATGCATCAATAGAAATAACGATTTCGTATGTTAAGTTCTCGATATGAAGGAAAATACAACAAATACATTTCAGCATGCATTATGTAATATGTATAATAATATAGGGTTACTTACTGCATGAATAATGATGAATATTGTCCGGAGAAGATTTTAAGTTTCCATTAGCTTGCGCGTGCAAAATAATGTCCACGGCGACACGCTTTGCGGGGGACATAGAAATACCGGGCGTCCGTCCGTCCGTCCGACCTGTATTGTAAGCGCTCTCATGTGTACAATTCTTGCCATATTTTTATGAAACTTATATCATAGGTTAATATCAGCAATGTCTCAAACAAGTTTGAAAATCAGTGCCGATCAATCATTTTTAAAAGAGTTATCCCCTTGGAAATATTAATTATATGGAACACTCTTATGTGTACATTTTTTGGCAGATTTGTATCAAATTTATATGATAGGTTTATATCAGCAATGTCTCGGACAAGTTAAAATATCAGTGCTGATCAAATATTTTTGAAAGAGTTATGCCCTTTGAAATAATTATTATATGGAAAATAGGATTTCAAGCGCTCTCATTAGTACAAAAGTTAAAAGATTTTTATCACATTCGTATTAAAGGTTTATATAAGCAATGTCTCGGACAAATTTAAAATCAGTGCCGATCAAATAATTTTAAAAGAGTTATGCCCCTTGGAAATATTTATTATTATTATAGATATTTGTAAACAGTTTTAAAGAACAGAAAAAAAGTATTTTTTAATTATTGCACTTCGATAGATAAAATGAATGCAACGCAGGGAATTATGAAACTCTGTTCTTTAATTATCGTCCTATTTCTGTTTCTAGTATTGTTTGTAAGGTTATGGAGAAATTCCGTTTTAAACACTTGTATGATTATATGAGGAGTAATAACCTTTTGTCAAAGATTCAACCTGGATTCCAGCAAGGAGACTCTACTGTGAATCGGTTAATTGAAACATATCATAAAATTATCAGTAATATGGATAGTTGGAGGGATGCAAGATCTTCATTTTGTGATGTGTCTAAAGCCTTTGATAAAGAACTTTTATTCAAACTTAAACAGTCTGGCTCAATGATCAGCTCTTATCTTGGATAGAGAGTTAATTTTCAGATCGTCAACAAAAAGTAGTATCAGAAGGCTTTTCATCAACTCTTAAAAGTATATATGTAGGTGTCCCTCAGGGATCAGTTTGGGACCCTTTCTGTTTTTCATTTATATAAATCATATAGTAAATGACATTGTTAATGACATAAGCCTTTTTGCAGATGACATTTCTTTATTTGTTATAGTAGCCGATGATCATGCTGTAGCAGCTGATTCTTTGACTGATGACTGCGACTAGAACTTAAACTGGGCTAAACCATGAGCTGTTCAATTTAACTCTAAGAAAACGAAAAAAAATATTGTATTTACTAGAAGGGAAAGGGAGCATCCACCTGTTTTTTATTTTTGGTGAAGAGGCTGAGAAAATAAATAATTACTGTCATCTTGGGATAACATTTCAGTCATCAGCTTCATGAAACACACATATTGATAACATTTATAAAAAAACATGCTCTCGTTTATCTGTACTTCGACAAGTTAAACATTAATTAGACAGGAATTCATTTATACGTATTTACTGTGCTTTTATTAGACCTATACTAGAGTATGGTGATTTTGTTTTGGGCAACTGCTCTCAGCGCGAGTCCAAGCTTCTTGAAAATATTCAAATAGAAGCTGTTGGAATAATTGGACTACGGCGTAATTCCTCAAGACATAAACTTTATATTGAATAAGGAATAGAAACTTTGGAAAATAGACGAAATAAACATAAGTTTATACTGTTTCATAAAATATTAAATGGGATGACACCTGCAAATTTATATGAGTAAGTCTAGCTAAATTTTCCGAGAAAAACCCCTTAGACTTTTAGGAATGACAATTATACTTTTCACCTCCACTTGCTAGAACTAGCTCTTACTTTAATAGTTTAATTCCTTCCTCTCTACGACTTTGGAATGGTATTCCTACAGGTATATAAAACCCCCAAGTTTATGTATATTTAGAGGTAGACAAGACAAATTTGATAGGACTATAATATTAGATATTGTCAACTAAAAAATAATGGTAGCAACCTGAAAATTCATTTGTTTGATCAATTTTTATCAGTAAACACTAGCTGTTAAAAATGTAATCACCCTGTTTAGGATACCAGCATTTATTTGCCCTAAGTACAGTTATGTAAGACAGATCTTACTTGATTCCATTTAATCAATTGTTGACGATAATGTTGACATAACTATTGATTTATTACTTTTTGGAAACAAATTATTTTCGTATGCTATTTTTAAATCTGTTCAGAAATATATCAGCGACACTAAAAGTTTTGTTTGAAATTTAAAAAAAAAAACCAATTTATTTCGTGATAATTTGTTTTCAATTCTGTCCTTTTTTTCTACAATATTATTTAATTTATTCCACTAAGTAAGCTTAGTGTCTCTTCAAGACCTTATATATATATAAATATATATATATTTAATGACTTATAAAAAATATTTACATATCTCAAGGAACTTGATTAAATGATGATCAATTGCCTACACACCTTATTTACTATACATTTAGTAATTAACTCTGTTAATATGAGCCTGTTGCTAAATCTTTTTCATCTCTCAATGAATAAAATATGTTTAAAATCAAATATGACGTCGATGAATTAGAGCTATATTTCTAGAGCAATATCAAAGAGTATTGCACGTTAATATTTCGTTACGTTATGTGGGGATTATTACGTAGCTTTATTAACTAATGACTTAGAATACCTTATAAGTTGTCCATTTTATACGATTACATTTGTCTTAGAGCTGGTATTTGATACAGGTCTAATACTGTACAGAGAAGCTAATTAATACAGAATTTTTACTGGTCTTAATACAGGATTTTTACCTCTGGTTTTGGTTCAAAAAGGGTGTCAGAAAACGGATGTGTGTATTTTTGCTTATGTGTTTTCTCTATATGCCGTTTTGTTTTTCTTTGTTGACGTATTTGTTTATTTTTATAGTGATTAAGATTATAACACAATGTTCACTACTGTACCCCTATTTTTGACATTTTTATCTATTATGTCTGTTTGTTTTGTTCACACATTGTTGTCATATAATGGAATTTTTTGCGACTGTCATACAAGTGAGAGGTTTAGCTAGCTATAAAACCAGGTTTAATCCACCATTTTCTACATAAGGAAATGCATGTACCAAGTCAGGAATATGACAGTTGTTTTCCATTTGTTTGACGTGTTTGAGCTTTTGATTTTTCCATTGGATAAGGGACTCTCCGTTTTGAATTTTCCTTGGAGTTCGGTATTTTTGTTATTCTACTTTTTACGCGAAATAATGGATTTCAATATATTTGATGTTAGAGTTGTTGTTATTTTTGATATGTTATACTATTTTGTTCTTTGAGATTATACTATTATGGACGGTAGAAAGTGTGAATCTCCAGAATTATCAACAATAACAGATTATTTCTTTGAGGGCGCAGACCGAGATGAGAGACATTTGTAGGATTGACAATCTTGGATATATGCCATGCTTCGAATGGACCTTATTTGTTTTATTATACAAAAGGAGCCTTCGACAATGTTCGAGCCATTAAAGATACATGTTAAAGAAGCTCCTGTACATGGCTTACTGTAGTTACAAATAATTTGTCAAAACACTTACGTCAGAGAATTATTTTGTGACTTTAAAGATGCCTCATATGTACAACAAATGAAGACTATTTCTTTAAAGTAGTGGTGGCCCTGAAAAGGGCGGTTTGTGAAAGCTATACTCGGCACTAGATTGATTTCAGTTGCCATTTTGTTTACATATGTCAGTGACGTCATTTTGATAGCATTACCTCTGTTCAAATCGAGAGGTTCAAAGGTTTTTTTTTACCGGTGAAGAAAATGAATCATATTGATCCTGTATGGGTTTTCCTACTGTCGTGTTTATCCTCAGTCAGCTTTTGTTGGTTATTTTAGTCATTGGTTAATTAGGTGTCATAAAATGGGTGTTTTCATATGAATCCTGTATTGTGTCCTCGTAAAGTCGTATTGGGTCGATGTTAGCTATATTGGCTCGATGCGGACTTGAACATGATATAGGATAAATATGAAAACACCCTTTTAATAACACTATAATATGATAAAATTATTTATATGAATCTGAATTTAAGTTGAGAAAACGTGCTAAAAACATGTCTACTTAACCTGTGTTTATATTTAATCATGAGTATTTTTTAAAAGTCTAATGATGGAGAGAAATAAAAAAAAGACACGCCATTTATTATTTTAGTATTTCTATCGGTTTGATATTTACGATACAATAATACAGACAACTTGGTTTGATGTGAAATTTATTCAAAGTTGAGAAGAATAGTATGCAATATAATTTACAGATCAGAAGTTAGAAGTATACATCTATATAGGAGCAGGAGCAGGAGGATTGCTAATGATGATATCTATTCTATTGATTTTACTTTGTATAAGGTAATTGCAACTAACATTATTTCATAATGTTTGATTCTTGGCCAAGTCAATCCAAAGACTTTAAGTGAAATATTTGCTATGTCTACACAAGCATGTAAACATTTTAAGAGTAAGAACAAAGCATAATATGCTAAATGTGTCCTAATCGGGTTGATATGTCTTCTTGTGGACTGCTGAGCAAGCGTGTTTTTTTTAAACAAATAATAAAAAACACTGATATAGTAATCATCAATGATCATAAAAACGGCATGACCAAAAATTCAGAAAAACTAGCAGCTTTAGCGTAGATTTTGAATCCTGAGAACACTTTGGATAATCCATCATCAAGATCAAAGAGTGGACAGACAAAATAAACAAAAACAATGTTTACCAAACCATCAAAGCATGTCGGATAAAAAGCAAGGGTCATGAAGAGAATTATCAAGTTAACATGTTATCGTCCTGACTATGCATCTACAATCTGTACGTTTAGCATTCACTGTTTAATCAATTATCCTAGACATTATGGTCATTACGGCCAGGATAATGTCAGTTATTGTGTCCAGATTGTCATCATATTTGATATACTAAAAGTCTACCAAATGCAAATTAATAGTTAAGGGAATTAAGTATTAGGTTAAGATCATCGTTTTTTTTTTTTTAATCAATGAAAATTTGGAAATTGTAATATTTATGTTATTAATGGAGATACATATGTTGTTAAATATATGTCTGATTGACACATCACGATAAAATATTTATAAGGAAACTGACAAAACTTTATGACGAGAAATTAGTATCTTGAAGATAAATCTAAGATGTTATCATAAAATCTTCGAAAATCTGAAACCGGAACATTTATCAAATGTAACTCTATTTTATAACATTACAAACAGAATTGTATACGGAAACTGACAAAATATCATGCCAAAACAATAATTATTGTTTGCCAAAAATTCAGATATTATCATAAGATCTCCGAAAACAGGAAACCAGAAAATGTTTCAAATGTAATGCAAATTCAGACGTTCTTTTTCAAGATTTTCTTCATAAAAAAATGATGAATTGGATGAAATTTAAAAAATCTCTCATGTTTAACAATATTTGACCTGACCTTGGATAGTTCTGTAATAGCACAACACAAGAACAAACTGTCAACGAAATAGCTTGATTCGTCAGATATATACAAAGCATAAAAAGAAACTCACAAAAAGACTAAAGAGACGAAGAACCGATACAAGAAAGTACTCGTAAAAGCCTTTAACAACTGATAAAAGATCCCAGAGTACATGCAGTTACTGCAAGCTAGTTCAAAGTCGTTTACAAATATTAGGTACAAACTGTTTTCCCAGACTTAAGTATCAATCAGGACATATCCAACGGATTTAGTGTAGAGACGTCGAAAACAGTCTGAAAAAAAGCGCGATCATGTTCAATGCCACAATATAAGTAAACAATATTGACATAATGTAGGGCTATAAGTTTTCATATCTGTATAGCAAAATCAAAATCAATGTTGGTACAGATAAAAGCAAAAGCCAAAGATCTTAATACGACGTAAATTTCCAACCTTCAAGAATAGGCTTATTCAAGGGATCAATGACTTAACATCGATCGAAGCTAATTTAAAATAATATTTGCATTATTTTCGTCTTTGCAAGAGTTTCCCAACCTTCTTCAGTATATAAAGAATATATACTTGCTTAAATAGTAACTCCGGTTACAATTCGTGCTGTCTCGATATTGTTTTCCTTAACGATCCGCAATAAATTTTGTAGACCACAATTGTATCACACTAAAACAATATTTTAAAATCAAAAGAATATAAATGTCATGTATATGTATATTCTCTTCAAATTTAAACTTTAATTTCCCCAAGACATTTGGTTGTTTGAGACTTTTTCCATTATAAAATTAATATGGGTAGTCGACTTGCAATCATAACTTCAATAAACGCCAGGATATAGCGTATAAGGAAGATGCATGTGTGTACCAGGTATGTGAAGATATATATGAGTTTGATGTACATAATATTATTTTTTTTTACATTTCTCCAAATGAACATGCCATAATTTACCCATTTATTCAAAATGTTTAAATGGTTTATGTTATAAGGTTGTTTTTATATTATTATTGAGTAAGGCTAATCATAAAGTCTGAGTTAGAATGTTAATTAGTAATCAAGAAAACCTTCGAGTTTAAATTCTAATTCGACTTAATATTTGAATAAATGGTATAGTACGATTAAAATTTGAGTTCAGAAAGGTCAAACTCTAAAATGTTTCTAAATGGAATGTCCAATTTTTACTCTGACAACACCGTTGGTGGACAATACAAAAAAATTGCTATTTGATTCTACAATTAATGGGATAATGTGTCGAAAATCATATTTGAATATTTGCATACACTCTTGATTCCATTTATAGCAATAATCAACGATTATCTGAATGTTGTTATAACCCATGTTTTCTTTTCAACTTCGAATGTCCCGAATGTTTACTTTTGATGATCGTTATGGGTGACAGATTATCATGGATAACTTAAGATTGTCCATGTTAGAATAGGCCTTCCTTACATGTACTTATCTCTGAACTTATCAATGGATTAATAATCTCCTTACGTTAAACAATGGAAAAAATAGCTGACGCTCAGATTTTTCTCAACTTATTAGGCCCCATTTGGTTATATAGCTCTTCAACTGTTTATGTTCTTATACATCTTTGGCTTTCAAATATCCGGCTTTGATCGTTCCTAATCAAGGTAAATCCAGGAAAGTGCTTCGGACGCATGCAATTTGAGCTTTCTGCGTTTATCCATTTTTTCTGATTATTCTATTTAATGATTAATAGCATTCGTTTAGCACATCAAATTTATTGTAAAGTTCAAATTGACCATATGGTTGTATGTATATAATACCTTGTTTTTGTTTTTTTATTTAAACTTAAGGTTTCTGTATATATCACAAGACAAATTGCAACATATGTTTTCCATGTGTTTTAAAACATGTAAAAATCATATGGATAATGTAAAAATCATATGGATAACATATGACTTTCATAGGTTTTTCGTATGTTTCGTGTTACATATGAAAAACATATTTTTCGAAAGACATGTTTTCCATGAGTTTCCAATCATATGAAAACATACATTGCCATTTGTCCTGTGTATTATTAGGTCTTTCCACTTTTCCATGGAAAGACCTATTGGTTTTGTTCTGATTATTAGGCCTTTCCACTTTTCTGTGGAAAGACCTATTGTATTTGTTCTGATTATTATTATTTTATTCCGCCAAATTTTGTTCTCGCGTAAAATTTTTGTTTCGCAAGATGTTGCTTAGATATTTCTTATATAGTATCATACAGTTTATGCGCTTTTTATTTTCACCCATTCTAAGCCGAACAATTTTCTTTGCAGGAGTTGTCTCCCCGAACACTGTTTTCCTTGTGACTGCATCTCCTCCGTAACCGTAAAAGAAAGCGACAAATTTATTTTATAAAATTACTCGTTATATCCTTTGCATGATTTGTCCTATTTTGACCGAAGCGATATGAATATTCCATATGAGAGTTATTTCCCTCTTTGCATTTGATATAAGTGATATGCATTTCTATCTTGTAAACCATAAGTGATAGAGACCTAGGATCTTTTGATTTGAGGTCCTTGATCCAAAAATAAGAAAATTAGGTCAAGGTCAAAGGTCAAGGTCATGTTGTGATTTATACATTAAGTTCATATCGCTTCTTCCTAGAAAGAGTTATAGATATCGACAAGTTATCGCATTTCTATGAAAAGAAAATCGCTTTTAGTCCCGTACATTATACTGTAAAATGCTAATCCTTCTTACGTACAAATTTCGTTCTGATATAGAAATCCATCCCTGCAAAAATCTGCTCCAATTCATGTATTTTCTGAAATTAATAGATGAGACACGTGCGGTCCGCTTGATTGCGAAATTAAAATCAATGTTGTAGAAATCCCTCCCAAATTCGTCAATATTACTGAAATCCTACAATCAAATTTCTAAACATGCATTAAAATACAAATATGTGCTCCCGTAAACATGTGTACGTAATATGTATGCATGATCCGACATCAATGACCTGTACAAAATAAAAACAATAGTTATCGTGTTTCTCTGATCAAAACACATGTGCTCTGTTCAACGGTCTCCCCTGAAAAGAAATAATTAATATTCTAACTCCAGACATATATATTCGAGGGTCACGTGACTTCACAACACCATCTCTAGCGCGGACCTAAATTTAGTATAAAACATTCCATATCCAAATAAGGAAAATAAAACTTTCAAGATAAAATTTACTCCGTTTTCCTACAAATTCAATCAAAATGCATACACAACAAATAGATGAAAAATGGAAGTCCGAGGTAACATAGAAACTAGAGAAAATTTATAAACGAATGATGCTAGGATCAATTTTTATGAGGACATCTCAGGCGTCCGTTTGGCTGTGCGGGATGTATAAGTACGCAGTCACGTTCGGTCAGAATATAGGCGTTATTTAAGTTAGCTGCGTCGCACAGAGAAAGTGCCATGCAATCAATCAATCAATCAATCAATCAATCAATCAATCAATCGACCAACCAACCAACCAACCAACCAATTAATCATGTTTCGGAGGGGAAAGACCGTTAAACAATTGTTTTTTAAACAATTGATTTTTATTTGTTATTATTATACTTTTCTTGCGGTATAAAGTTGTTTCGCAAGATGTTGCTTAGACATTTTGAATATGATATCGAACAGTTATTGCGCTTTTTAAACTTGTCTCGTTAAGGCGAAGACTTTGTAAGAGTTATCTCCCTAACACTGTTTTTCTTGTGAGTGTATCTCCTCCGTAACCAAAAAAAAATAACGACAAAATTCTTTTTTCATATTTGTTCGTTACATCCTCAGAAATTTTAAGCTGATTTGGATCGAAGCGATCCTGTGAAATTTTATAGGAGTTATCTACCTTTATCAATTAAATTTGTCGTTATGTTTTTGTAACTCATAAACCGTAAGCCGTATTAACCTATAGTCTTTTTATTTGAGGTCCTTGGGGCCTTACTTAGAAAATGAGGTCAAGGTCAAAGGTCATGGTCATGTTCTCAATTTTGTCTTTTGCTTGTTTTTGCATTTTCTCTGATATTTTTAACGTTATATATAAAAGAACTACTGCAAAATGTTTGTTTTATTGGGATGAAGATATGATACATTTGGTCTGAAACAATCCAGTGACATCTTATAGGAGTTATTGCCCCTGGAATGTTTTATTTTAAGGTAAATTGATTATTACTTCAAATTGGTACATGATAAAGCAAAAAGGTCTTTTAGAAAATGTTAAGTGACATGTGACCTTGAAAAGTATCAACCGGAAGTGACCTTGAGTGAACCGGAAGTAATCATTTTTGCACTTATTTTGTAAAAATACATAGAAACCATATATTTTTTTAATGGTCATAAATTAACTTATCATTTGAGACAAGAAGTGACATTTTATAAACCGAAAGTAGCATATTATCTCCCTTATTACAGGCATATGTATATACAAACTATATATTTTTGGAATCAGTGTGAATAAAGCTATCGAATGAGACCGGACATTACATTTTCTAAACCGGAAGTAGCAAATTATCTCCCTTTTTACAGGCAAAAGTATATATAAACCATATATTTTTGGAATCAGTTTAAATAAAGCTATCATATGAGACCGGAAGTGACATTTTCTCAACCGAAAGTTGACAATTATCTCCCTTATTTCAAGCAAAAGTCCATAGAAACCATATATTTATTGAATCAGTATAAAGAAACCTATGATTGGACGCCAATAGTAGCTTTGAGTAAACCAGAAAGAGCTTCTTATCAATTATTTAGAAAATTGATGTGGAAAGACCTTCAATTGTTCTTTGAACAATTGGTTTTTAATTTTTTTTTTTTCTTCTTCCGCCAAACCCTTTTCTTGCGGTATAAAGTTGTTTCGTAAGATGTCGCTTAGATATTTTGGATATTATATCGAACAGGAATTGCGCTTTATAAAACTCATCTTGTTAAGCCGAAGACTTTTTTATTGTAAGAGTTATCTCCCCAAACACTGTTTTTCTTGTGAGTGTATCTCCTCCGTAACCAAAAAAGATAACGATAATTTTTTTTTCATATTTGTTCGTTACATCCTCAGGAATTTTTGGCTGATTTGGATCGAAGCGATCCGGTGAAATCTTATAGGAGTTATCTACCTTCACCAAATAAAGTTGTTCGTTATGATTTTGTAACTTATAAACCGTAAGACGTATAAACCTAGAATCGTTTTATTTGAGGTCCTTGGGTCCTAACTTAGAAAATGAGGTCAAGGACAAAGGTCAAGGTCATGTTCTAAGTTTTGACATTCACTTCATACTGCTTCTACTCAGAAAGAGTTAAAGATACCGACAAAAAAAATTTGACCAAAATGTTAGTCGCGACATGATATAACTGGAGAGTTTTTGTCAAAATGGAACGCGTCATTTTTTGGGGGGGTTCCATGCCACTAAAATGGTAAAATGAACAAATTAACTAATTATAGCCTCAAACTTTGTAGCTATCATGATGCGCATTTTATCTTCATTAATCAACCAAGGTCCACCACCGACCACCCGTCCTCCCCCCCCCCCTTTTTTAAATTTTTTTTTTAGGAATCCCAGTTCTATTTTACTGTAAAAATGCTAATCCTTCTTATGTACAAACTTCTTTCTGAAATAGAAATCCATCCCTGCAAAAATCTGCTCCAATTCATGTATTTTCTGAAATTAATCGATAAACGTTTTGTTAAAGTACTATAACAACAGCATTATTTTTGTGTGCACGCAATGAATGAAGACTCGTGGTCACCGATTAGACAATAGTTTACCTGTAAAATGAATCATGAAAATATATTCCCGTTAGCACTATAAATCACGTGCGGTCCGCTTGACGTTCTGATCTGGATTGAGAAATTAAAATCAATGACGTAGAAATCGCTCCAAAGTTCGTAAATATCAGTGAAATCCTACAATCAAATTTCTAAACATGCATTAAAATACAATTCTGTGCTCCCGTAAATATGTGTACGAAAAAAGCATGCATGATCCGACATCAATGACCTGTAAATGAAAGAAAATTAAATCCGTTTGCACAATCTTTATACACAGGTCTGGTCTTGACGACATCCTCCTCTGCAAAGAAATCTTTTTTAGTATATCAGCTTGGTGACGTCACAATCACACCATCTTCAGCGCGTGCTACCTAAAATAAAGTAGGGGTTTTCCCCTTTTCCGAAAGAATTAGAAATGTGCACGTAGATTAAAAACAAAAGATCCATGCGGGTCAGGTCCGATTTCCTTTAAATACAAAATTGAATTAAATGCACACACAATAAGTAAGTAAGACACAAATTCCGTGAAACCTTATAAAAAAAGGAACATTTATAAAGGAAGATGCAAGGATATTTTTTGGAGGGATGTTTAAATCCTTGCATGTTCCTAGAAATATCATAATTTAAATATAAATAAACATGTTGCACGGACCCGTTTTCGCATGTTCCTAGAGGCAAGGTCCCACGTCTTTAAACAGGGGAACTAGGCTCTCAATTCCTTTTTCACTTGTTCCTAGAGGCTAGGTCCCACGTGTTTAAACAGAGGAATTAGGCTCTCAAGTCCTTTTTCGCTTGTTCCTAGAGGCTAGGTCCCACGTGTTTAAACAGAGGAATTAGGCTCTCGAGTCCTTTTTCGCTTGTTCCTAGAGGCTAGGTCCCACGTTGTGTAATCAGCCAGCCAACCAACCAACCAACCAATCAATCAACCAACCAACTAATCAATCAATCAGTTTAATCAATCAATCAACCAATCAAGCAACTATGTTTGGAAGGGGAAAGACCGTTAACAATTGTTTTTAAAACAATTGATTTATATTTGTTATTGTTATTCTGACATATTTTTTTTACAATAGATTTGCTAATCTTCAATTTTTATACAATTTAACTGGGATATTAACGTCCGTTACATTTTTTGTAAATCCTTTATGCCAATAAAAGTTTATTTCGAATTAAAGGAACAGATCAACAAAGAAAGACAAAAAGAAGAAGAAACTGCGAATGACAGCAATGATACTGATTCTGATAATGGCAAATTGAAAGATAACATATTATACGTTTCCTCAGATCCACAAGATATCATTGAAGACGGTAATTACAGTACTGTAGATTTAGAAAATAAACGAATAGTAAATGAAAGTACAAGTTCTGGTGTAGAAGATAGTACAGCTGACGGAAACTACAGTTCAATAGGAACTACTGATAGTAGTCCAGATACTCGGAATAAACCGAAACCGGCCGTCAACTTTAATGAATCGGACACGCAAAGGCAACATATATCTATCTTGGAAAATAGTAATAATGAGTATGCCGTGGTAGATAAAGGGAGACAATCTGGTGGTGTTAAACATGCTACTCCTTTGGAGGTAAAGAATAGCAGCGAGAAAGACACGGAAATGTCTGTTATAGATCAAACATATGCAGTGGTTGATAAAGCAAATAGGAAAAAAGCTGATGAATGAAGACTAAACAATGTGCAGCAAATTGTACGAATTTCCAGAAAAATACTTTTTATTGGAGATTTCGGACATGACTTCTTATAAATGCAGCCTGCAGTTAAAATGCTTTTTGGAACAAGCGTATGTAAGTACGTATCAGCAGACGATAACTGAAATAAAATACCTGTAAACATGCTTAGTGCCCAATGCGGTGTGTGTAATAAAGCCATACTGTTTAATCTCTACTTTATATTTTGTACAAACTATATAACAATTTAAGGCCTTGCTTTGTCATATTTTCAGATAATTCAACAGGTTAAAATGTATTTTTGTGTTTTGAAAAAAGAGACATGTTCAGTACACTTTTTTATTGACATTTGAGTTAGTAAGTTACCTTATTCATCAGCTTGAAATAGTGAAAACTATCAACGGGTCATAAATAATATAAAATAATCTATATTATACATGTATTGAATTTGAAGGATATATGATATTTAACGAGGCCAATTAATATACAATAGATATCAAAGGTCAACAATTGTTGAACGTCGAATTCATAAGTTGAAAAACACTGTGTGAATGATCGACCAAAGTCCGTTTTCAGAGACAAAGAAGCTGTGAAATGTCTATCATCTCTTCACGATAAATATGTTGGTGTTCCTGCGGGCAAAGCTTCAAAAACATATTGTCTTTGTACGTAAATCGTACTACGAGTGTCTTGTAAAAAATTAGGAATAAATAATACTATGAAACTGTTTACTCGCGTAGTGGTATTAACCATAATTATGTGGATTCTTACAAACTCTAAGGAACTTCTGGATAATTTTAAATCTTGATCTTCCTCTGAAATTAATTCTATCAAAACTTTTTATTTTTCAACCCAGTATACAAAAAGGTTAAACATACTACACAGAGGAACAAGTGATCAGTATGCTGGAGTTTCTCATAGACAACGTATTTGTTGAATTTGGAGGTAGACTTTTTCAAAAAATTGTCATCATTCCTAATGGAACGAACTGTGCGCCTATCCTTGCCGACCTTACTTATTTTCATAAGGAGTAGAAGTTCCTTCAGATACGTGTCACTTGTCAAAAACAATAAGATCAAATAACCCAGATCTTTAATTTCACATTCAGGTATATTGATGATGTTATTTCCATTAACAATCCAAACTTTTCTAATTGGGTTCCATTAAATATATCCTTCAGAACTAGAAATTACAGACCAACAGATTCGGCTTCCTCTGCCTCATTTTTAGACTTATACTTCAAAATTGACAGAAGCGGTCATCTCAGTGCCAAAATCTATGACAAAGGAGACGATTTTAACTTTGAAATTATCAATTTCCCCCAACTCAGTATTAATAAACCAACTTTACCTGCATATGGGATACACATTTCCCAACTCATTCGGTATTCAAGAGCTTGCAGCTGCTACTCAGACTTTATAAAACGCGTACGTCACCAATCTCTGAGCAGAAAGTTGATGAACCAAGGTTATGTCAAAGAACGTCTCGTTTATTTCTAAAAAGGTTCCTTGGAAGATACCAAGACCTTGTTAATGAATATATTCACAAATAAAACATGATGGTCTTGGTGTATAGATTTTAGGTACTGATGTTGTTTATCATCTTAATTACGTGTCATAGTGTTCTTTTATTTGTCTTGTATATTATCAACCTTTACTGTTTGGTCCATTTTCAGTAACATCCTGTTGGCGTAGCTCGGTACTTATGCATCTTGCCATTGTGTTACTGTGCTATAGTAATTTTTTGTATTCTTGTCTTTTATTTTTGCGTATGTACTTTGTCTTTATGCCATTTAATTTTTCCTTGTTGACATATTTGTTTGTTTTTATAATGATTAAGATTAAAACACAATGTGGACTGCTGTACCCCTGATTTTGATATTTTTACCTATTATGTCTGGTTTTTTTCACATATTGTTGTCAATATAATGGAATTTAATGCGACTGACATACAAGTGAGAAGTTTAGCTAGCTATAAAACCAAGTCAAGAATATGACAGTTGTTTCCATTCGTTTGATGTGTTTGAGCTTTTGATTTTGCCAATTGTTAAGGGACTTCTCGTTTTGAAATTTCCTTGGAGTTCGGTATTTTTGTTATTTTATTTTTTATTATATGACGTTCAGTATCCATATCCAATCGTCTAGTATTTGCTCAAAATATTTTGAAAAAAACAAAACTCATCAAAGATTCCGGGCTCATAATTTTGTATGTCAGATGTGTGTTTGGTCTACAAAAGACTCATCAATGACGCTCTTATCAAAAAGTTAAAAGGCCACACAATATACGAAGTTGAAAGGCATCCAGGACCAAAAATTACGAATTTTAAGCTAGATATATAATCCGCTTTGGAAGGACAGTTGCATATCAATAATATGTATTCAAAATACCGAAAAAGAACAAAGAGAACTTGCAACACGTCATAAGCTTTAGTCCTTGACGTTGCCTAGGAAAATAGCTATTTAGGTACATGTTGGCTGTTCAAAATCTTATACATGTTGTATAAACCTGTCACAATTTTTCAAATATATGATGTTTTACAATAGTTTTAGTCTATGAGAGAACAGAAATACTATAGTCATATATTAATTGTATATAGTTTGCAATATTTTTAATAAAGTTTTAGCTTTGATATCTTCAATCTCTTTTTAAGCACTCAGTATGGTAATGCTATAACTATGCGTTATAAAATTATTTGTCCAACGTATTGAAATAACATATAAACAAAATGTTCAAGAGAATTTCTAGTACTAGTATGTAAACATTTTAAAATAACACAAAAGATGTATCGAAATAAGACTAATAAAAAACATTACAAGAATCAATTACTGTTTCGGCTATAACAAATTGTCTTCTTCAGTGTTAGTGTCCTGGTGTAAAATGACGTTTAAAAAGTTGTTTCAACCGTTCAAAATCCTTAAAGTGATACAAATTGAACAACATTAAAACCAAAACAAGTATGGAAAAAAGAAATATAGATTTATTACTTTCGCATTATGGAATCTAAATGTTCTATGATGAAGGTGGTATGGGGTATAAGAGCCATTATTAGGCATCTTGAAATTACATAAATATAAGAGTCTTTTATCTTTTTAAAATGATATCAATATTATTGATCAATGGTAAAATAGAAGAATGACTATTCCTAGAACTAAAATATCAGAAAATATTTAACGGGTGATCGAAAAAAAACCATTAATTCCTGAATGCGCGTAGCGCATGAATAAATTGCCACTGTTGTTCGATCAAGAATTGAATATTTGCTTATATTTGAATTCTTTTATTTTGTTATTCTATTTATTACATTGACTTCTAAGAAAGGTTAAGTACATTATAGTGTTTATATACTCGTTCTAACTTTGTTTTGATGCAACGTCTATGACAACTACTCGCCAAAATGTATTGTTGTATTACATCAGATGGATGAAACTACATGGTTTCTAATTTCCAACGTTAAAATATATGTTTTTATCAAATTTCGAAATCACGGTTTTTTTTTATCCCATCCAACAACTATTTGCTTTATCAATAACAAAGCTATTAGTATTATTTCTCTTCTTGAATTTGTAACAAAGTATACTGTATATAATGTACAGTATGGTATGGTATATACTGTATATAATGTACAGTATGGTATGGTATAGTATGCTGTATATAATGTACAGTATGGTATGGTATAGTATACTGTATATAATGTACAGTATGGTATGGTATAGTATGCTGTATATAATGTACAGTATGGTATGGTATAGTATGCTGTATATAATGTACAGTATGGTATGGTATAGTATGCTGTATATAATGTACAGTATGGTATGGTATAGTATGCTGTATATAATGTACAGTATGGTATGGTATAGTATGCTGTATATAATGTACAGTATGGTATGGTATAGTATGCTGTATATAATGTACAGTATGGTATGGTATAGTATACTGTATATAATGTACAGTATGGTATGGTATAGTATACTGTATATAATGTACAGTATGGTATGGTATAGTATGCTGTATATAATGTACAGTATGGTATGGTATAGTATGTATATAATGTACAGTATGGTATGGTATCGTATGGTATAGTATGCTGTATATAATGTACAGTATGGTATGGTATAGTATGCTATTGGCTTATTACAACAGACTCGGTAAACCGGCGATATGTTCCGAAAAAAGGCCAGCATCCCTTCCTGAGCTGCTTCGAATATTTCCAAAAATCAGTTATCTATCCCAGACACTTGAATAAAAGTGGAACGATATCGACAAGAGTGATTACAGCAAAGTCAAGAGTTGCTCCATTAACGTCAGTCAGCATTCCACATGATATTCTGGTCAGACAGTATGAACGTTTTGTATTAGATTAGAAGCAGGAGTAGAGAGTACAAGCCCTTTGTAGAGAATCGAATCGGAGAAATTCACACTTCATCGATTCCAATGGCGATATGTGCCAACAAAATTTAACCCCGCGGATTTAGTATCTAGAGGTAGGATAAATCAAACAACTACAGTCGGACGTAATTTGGTGGAATGGACCGTAATTTCTGCAAGAAGAAGAAGCACAATAGCCGGAAACTAATATTCAGATAGAAAAACGTACGTGATACCGAACTACAAGTGTCAAATGAAAACAAGCGAAAAAGTAACTGACAATCCTACATGAACAGTTTTCACATGAATGAATCACAGTGGCGTCTAGATCCCGTGCGCTTTTCTAATTTTACAAGACTAGTTCGAGTATTCGTATGGATCAACATATTTATTGATTACTGTAGATAGAATGAAGCAAGAACAACGCCGTCAAGGAAGTTTAACTACCGTCAAATTTGCAGAGGTCAAACTACAAATCATAGAACATGCACAAATGGAGGCATTTCAAGACAAATACAACGCTCTAATGAATAGTAAAGATTTACCGAAAACTAGCAAATTGTTAAGATTACATCCGAGAATTGATGAGAATGGATTAATCAGATGTGATGGACGTTTAGTACGCCGATTTTCTACCGTTTAATGATCGATATCTGATCATTTTGAAATGACAAAAATTAGGTCACAAAGCTTATTGTGAAGCGCTATCATGCAATTGGAAAACATGTTAGCGGGACAAATCAAACTTTCAGCATCAACCTCACGCTTTTGGATTATTTCAGGGAGAGAAGAAATAAGAGAATATGAATGAGAGAAAAAAAGCTAAAGTTGCCGAGCAAGTGATGGTCCCGTTACCGGAAATTCGTTTCAAAACATCGTTACATGCTTTCACTCGTACAGCAGTTGATTTTAAAGGAACCTTCATAACAGTTCGGGTGGAAGGAGGGGGAGGAAAACGACATCAAAAAAGATACCTATGTCTATTTACGTGTTTAGCGTCACGTGTAGTGCATTTCGAAGAAGGATTTGGATTTGACACAGACTCATTTCTTAACACTTTTTATCGGATGGTAAATAAGGGAGGTCTTCATAAAGAGATTATTTCAGACAATGGAACTAATTTTGTTGGAGCAAATAGATCTCAAAGAACTAGTTTTGCTTTTAGACAATGATAAAATACAGAATTTAATATGTAATCAAGAGATTAAGTGGCACTTTAATCCACCGCTAGCTCCTCATTTTGGTGGCATTCATGAAACTATGAACAAAGCCGCAAAAAGGGCAATTACCGCAATATTAGGAAATGTAGGAAATGATGAGGAACTTTTAACAGCATTTACCGGAGCTGAAGCGCTTATTAATTCAAGACCGCTGACGTACAAATCAGCCGATCCTAAAGATGATACACTTTGAATCCGAATTATTTTTTGCATTGATAAATAAGTGGTCATTTCGCTCCAGAATCAATTGATAATACAGACTTAAACCCTACAAAACGCTGGAGAAGACTAGTAACTCAATCGCTTGTAAAACATATGAAAGTTCTTTCCCTTTAAAATCTGATATTTGTAATGCACTCTTTACGACCTATCATTTGATATGCTACGAGCATACCCTCTTAAAGTTTTCTCTCTTCGCACTTAATGACACTATCCACCTAAATTTTCGAGATCAGAAGTTTGATATTTGTAATCTTTACTTGATGACCTTTAATTTGATATGCGACAACACCATCTTCTAGAAAGTTTGATTTTCTGAACTTAATAACCCCATCCAACTCATTTTTGGAGGACAGGAATTTGATAGCCGAAATGTTCACATTATGACCTTTCATTTGATATACAACAACCTTACCTTAGAAGAGAATTTGTCTTTTTGCACTCAATGACCCCACCCAACCTATTTTTGGTGGACGTATATTTGATATTTGAAATGTACGCTTTATGGACTGTCATTTGATATGCTACAACCTAACCATGTCGGAAGTTTTAATTGTTGCACTAAATGACCCCACCCTTCTCACTGGGATGAAAAGGGGGTTTAAAATTTTCATTTTTGAGTAGAGCACATTTAGACGTTCAATTGGATATACCAAATGACCCCATTTGGTAAAGTCCCAAAAATGATGCAATATCAATTGTATTAATAGAACTTATGAAACTTACAAAGTCTAAACATGAAAATTTCAAATTTGTTTTATTGCCTTTTTTGGTAATTAGTCAAATATATAACCGTGTTAAACTCTTTTTAGGTGGCTATCTGTTTTTAATTCAGAAATACATGCCTCCACTCGCAAAATTTCCAACTGCATTATCTCTAAAACGACAACAGATATCTCAAATCTGCTAAGTGAAAAATGATCTGCAGTTAAAGTACAACATTGTAACAAAAATTTTGGGACAATTTCATAGTTCATCAAGGTCACAATGAATAATCAAATATATGATGCAATACCAAACTTGAGAATCGGAAGTCGTAGAGACATGGGACTATCACCATT